TAAAAAAAATAAATAAAACATTCAAAGTATTTTTATTCCGATAAATTAGTTCGTTTAGCACCCGGCAGAGTGAAGCTTTGCTCTCGAAATAGTTGGTTATACTGTGCCGTGCGACCAGCTTGCAAGGCTCTTAAATTAGTAATCAAACTGTCAAATTAGTATCAGTTTTTCACAAAAATTTCTTGGAAGTCTTACAACAACAAAAAAAAACTTCGGGTTTGGAAAAATTCTAATAAATATATTTTTTCTGGTCTAATATTTCTAAGTCTAATTTTTTTCTAGTCCTACTATATTTAAAGCCCTTCCTTTCCTTTTCCATTTATTATTCTATATTTCCCCATCACTTAGTTCTTCCTCTACTATTTATAGTAGATTTAAAGCAGCAATAATTTACTGCGCTTCCGCTGGCTATTTTGGGTCAATGCTTTCCAAGTTAATTCCGTGTAAGCTTTCTTTTAGCATCCACTGCTATTTTTCGCGTTTGTCTTATTTACGCTGCATTCATTTGTGTAATAAATTTAATTAAATTTATTTTCACAAACACACACTTAACACTGGCGTTGCACAGACGTGGGTTCTTTATTTTGGCTTCTAATTTATGCACACGCACACACAAACATTAACCAATACATACATATATGCATGTGCATGTGTGTGTTTGCGTACATGCGTTTATACGCGTCTGCAGAATACATAAATATCTTTCTTGTTGTAATGTTTTAATGAGTTTCTTAAACTTTTCTCTTCGCTGACTTTTGTTTGCTTACTTTTCACTTTTTTCATTTCACGACTTTTTAAATTTGTTTTTGTTTTTCATTGTAATTGTTTCTTTCTATAATTTCGTTTTGTGTTTGTTTTTGTATTCTTTTTTTTATTTTTTTCGTTTTTTTAGTTTTGCATTCACGTTTAGTCCACAGAGTTTTTCCACTGCCACTGTTACTTTGTATGGTTTGTTGGAAACGTTGTTGTTATTATTGTTGTTTTTTAACCATAATTATATACTTTTTGTATGTAGTTTACATTGCGGTTGTTATTCTTGTTTTTTATTTCGCTTACCGCACACACTTAGTCCAGCTAGCCAATTTTCTAACTTGCTGGCTGGCTGACTTTCTTTGCTACTCTCATGCTTATTTATGCAACTTTGTTGCTATGCTGCTAACTTTGCTTCAAAACTTCTTACATTTATTGTTGTTGTTATTATTTTATTGCTCTACAGTGGCAGTTTGCAGTCATTGCGGCTGCTTCCGATAGTTCTTTCCTTGTTATTTATATTATAGCGATAAATGTTCTGCCATTTGGCTCCTTATATAGCATGATAGACACTTTTATATGCCATATGGGCAAGTTTAACTAAGCTGTGACTTTTATTTGAATTCTTGACATTTTTGAAAAATTTCTCTAATAATAATACAATTTTAAAACCTTTTTCTGAGTTTATGAAAGAAAATTTTCAGTTAACCAGGAAATATATTATACCTCACACATTATTTAAGCTTATTTTTTATCCTATACTTTAAGTGTTATATTATATTAAGATTTAGTGTTTAACATTTTGAGATGTCATATGTATCACATACTTAAGATATATACACATCTTACAAAGCTGATAGCTTATGCGAATTGCAAAGTGGTTGTTTTTAACCAAAGACTTAAGACACGAACTCGTTCAGAATTTTAAATGTGTGTTAAATTTTCCTTTGCAAATGACTATGCTCATGAATTAAGGCATAATTCCGGAACTAAAACCTGAGTTTGATAGTTTAATATTGATTATTAATATATTTTCCGCACAAGTGTACACAAGTAGACCTAATTAGGTATATATACATTTTATCGATATGGGGATTAAAGCATTTAGAAAGAAAATGTGATAAATTGTTCCAAAATTTTTTTATTATTTTATATCCAATGGTTATTAGAATATGTTCAAGATTTAGAAAAAAAACCTTTTGCCTCGGATTTGCATATTTTATTTTTTATTTTTATTTTTTGTTTTTTTTGAATTTTT